TTTCTACTTTAAGATAAATAAGGAGCCATACACCCAGTACCCATTGTAGTGGGACAACAGTGTGGATTTGTGCATTTTATATTGAATAAATTTGGAGCTACTCCAAATTCCTCTTTTCCTCTCCCAGAGAGGAGCAGGGGGGTTAAAGATCAACTTCAACAGACTGCTAAAGAGACCCCAACAGAAAGGGGGTGGAAAAGTAGCTTTCTCTAAGTGCTATTCCTGAGCAGCCTGATCCTAAAACTGGCACCTTTTTGATTCCGCAGCTGATAACGCGGTGCCTGACTGTTAAACTGACAAAAGGGAAATTAACCAGAGATTACAAACAGGCTATCGGAAAGGCAGGAAACCCTAAATTGCCCCCCCCCCCCCCACACACACACACACAACCGTGGCAACTGACCTTGCTCTGTGTTTCATTACCCCATCAAAGGGATACCCCCTTTCACACCCACTTGTGACATAATCCAGGACAGCTGAACTTTAAATAAACAAAGACTGCAGTCTCCAAAGACCCAATGCATTAACTGATGTCTGTTGTTACTATCTAAATAAGTTACTTTTACAGTGTTTTTATTTTCAGCAAGATTACGGACACTGCAATGCTTGTTCACAATACTTTCTCACACAATTCCTTTAGAAATGATAATAAAGAAATGTCATACTATACTCTATTAATTATCCAGCTTGAATTTAAGGCTGAATTCCCCATTTCCTAAGGAAAGATTGTTTTGGGTTAATCTAAGCTTTCCTCATGTAACCTGAGCTCCCCTAAGTGGACGAAATAAGTATTACACACCATAGTCGGAAATGCCAATAATGTATAAATGTCACCTACTTTTCTTGTTACCAAATGCTTAACTTAGAACGTTACAACTGTTTGACCATTGAGGTTTGATTGTGGAAAATATTTGATTATAATACGCGCAAATAGACTTTCTTTTTAGACATTAAAAGTTTAGAAAGGCAGTCCTCTGGGGAACCACGACCCAGACAACAAAAGAGCGACACGTGACGTTATTCGCTCTCTCTCTGCTCTGCTCCTCTCCTCGTTTCCATATCAGAAACGTCGCTGATCAAACGCAGTATCACCTCAGATTGTCTGCTGAATCTCAAGGAATGCTACATCTACTGAGTGTTATAACTTATTGATGACTCTAAACTGCATTTCATATGTACTTCGAATCGTTATCGTTTTTAAACAGTAATGTTACACTTGGAGGTGCACGGCTCTCCTCGGGAGAGACAGCTAGCTCTTTTTTTTTTTTTTATGTTTTTAGTAGATTTTTGAAAGTGTCCAGGTAGGGAGTATTTTGAATCTCTGTGGGGATGAGTTTCAGAGGGTGGGGGCTGCTGGGATCTGTCCCCAAAAGTCTGGAGTCTGGTGTGGGGGACAGAAAGCAAGCCGTTCTCCAGGGGAGATGTTAGCTAGCGCTAACAGCCTTCACTTTTCCAGCAGTTGGGAAACTACAGACTTTTATTAACGGACACACAGTGACCTACGCTGCATGTTTACTACCAGACAGAAACTTACAGCTAATATTTTCCTCCGCTAACTTTCACTGCATGTTCTGCCGCTTACTTTCTCTCATTCGGGGGGGGGGGTTATTAATTGCAGTGGTGTGCAGAATACAGACTGTTGTGTGTGCTCCACAGACAGTCTGGGCGCTACACTTCTGCAAGTTCCGCCTTTTGCGTTCCGTCAACATTACATTATCAATTAACATTTAAATAATTGATTTTTAGACATTTGTTAATCGATTCATAATCTTCCACGTCCGCATCGCAATGCATCTAAGAAACGATTATTTCTCCCACCCCTAGTAACTAGTAGGTAATAGCCAAACTATATTATTTCTGAGTAACAGAAATAATATAGTTTCCCAACACTGAGTTGACAATAAGGATCGGATAAATAGTGTAGGCCCATGTTTTGATTATTGCTTGTTATAGGCTTTGTCTAATGTTTACTTTGACTTTGTCGTCGATTGATCAATCATATAAGCTACAGAGGCCAGACTTTGCTGTATGAATGGTTGCTTTTTAAGTTGTCCTTATGTTAAAGGTTTTGGTTATAAAAAAAAATAATTGTGAATTGTTGTGACGGGGTTTATAGAAGGCCTTTTCAGATGGCTTTGATCCGCGGGTCGCTCTGCGCTCCTCATCAACAGACAGGCAGACAAGCGCTCCAGTGAGGTAACCATGGCCACGACTTTTGTGTAACTAGCGCGATCCCGTGAAACTGTTGCGGTCGTTCTGTCTCACGCACACGCCCGTCCGCTGCCAGAGTCGAAATGTCAAACTTTTTCCAGAGGTCTGGCTGTTTGATCAGAGTTTCCTGAATAATATAACAGTTAGGCCACCAGGTCTTAAACAGGCGACAACCTTTGCTGCTGTCTTCATAAAAAATAATCAATTAAAGAGGTGGTATTATGGTTTTTGGCTTTTCCCCTCTCCTTTATTGAGTTATATATCTTTTTTGTGCAAGTAATAGGTTTGCAAAGCGAAAAAGCCCAAAGTCCACCCCAAAGTGAGTTCCCATCTCCCACAGAAAACACTGCCTGAAAACAGCTGGTTTGTAGTCCAGCCTTTACTTCCCTTTCTTGTGACGTCACAATGAAAATACGTGTCATAATGCTAGCTCAGCGACTATTCCGACACGCCCTCAAAAACACCAGTGGAAAAACACTGAGCTGCAGCACACACCTCTCCCCTCCCTTCCAAACACTAGCTACCCTCCAAGCAGTCAATGGACATGAAGTTGTTACTGTAATGTAGAGACAGAGCTCAGTTAAAACTTTATGGATGAAAGAGACTTTTGTTACAGATTAATAACTCACCACTCTCAAACTCTTGCTCCAGTCCAAATGTAGCCTACAGCTGAATCGAAGCTGTTTACAGTCTTTTCACTGACCCGCCTTTCTCTGCTTCTGATTCGCTATTACCGGCCTTTCGCTGACCTGCCCTTCTCTGCTTCTGATTGGCTTGTAGTGCTTAACTAGGAACTGCGCATGTGCAACTCCCAACAAAGATCATGTATCACTCCAGCTAAAACAAAGCCTTCAACACAGGGTGAAAAGAGGACCTGCAGCATAATACTACCTCTTTAACTTCTACTGAACTAATTTGAAAGTTAGTAGTTATATTATTTAGTGACAGACTCAATTATTTCATGTTGCATGTTGCACATTTAGCTGTTTGGTAAAAAATGAATACAAAATAATAATTATTACAGAGAGGTTGCAATGGCGCAGTGGATTAGACATTTGTCTTTGATTCCCACTGCAACACAGTCACAAAAAAAGTTCCGCCGCCAGTTTAATCGGGGTGTCGGGGGTCTATTTTCCTGCTTTTTTGCCCTTTGCCAATCACATGCCTGATAAATAAATAAATAATTTGATAGTGGCTGGTGCAGAAATAGATCTCAGTCATGGCAGCAACAGTTACTCACATAATCACTGCCTCTTAAGCGCGAGAGTTTTTTGCAGCTCTGCTTTATTTCGCATTCAGTTGAGAGCTTTTACTTTGAAAGGTTCTGAAATATAGTCAGAAGAGTCTGTGGCGTGCTTAACACACCTCTGAAATGGCTCTCAGGAATAGTGATTCCCCTGAATGAGAAGCGCAGGAATTTCCTCTGCCTGGAGATGCAGGGGAAATGAAAATAAGCCTCCATAGGTTGATGGATGTGGACACACACACTCCCACACGCTTTATTGTGAGCATGTGAAACAGTCTCTTTATAGTTAACTTGTTGAAGAGGGAAAAAAATATGTTCACGCAATGGGGGACCAAACACCCTCTGATTGAAAGTGTACTACTGACAGAGCTAACCAGACATTGAAACTTTGTTGCTGACCCCTGAGCTAAACTATTAATATCACAGAATTATTAACACTAAAACAACTTTAAACACTAAAACAAATTCAGTGAGTTATAATTGCTGAAGCAAAAAGTGTTACAACCATACCCGGTCTCCCCTACTCACCACTCTGTGGGCTGGAGCAATGTCACACTCATAGTTAACAAGTCTGTCTCTGGGATGGATCTCTTAATTAATTAAATTTAATATTTTTAAAGACTAAACATGACAATTAACTTTAATCTTGTTATTTTCAACAAGTTATGTGTTTTTGTGTGTTGACACCAAGATAAATTTTTTTACAGCAAATGTATATTGGTTCCACATATTGGTCATCGGTCTAATTGGTTACTAAAAATCAGGATCGGCCAATCCCTACTCTGCAGGTAATAGGTTTTGTTATTGGATGTTAATGCGATTAGAGGGCTAGCTGGCATCTTTAAAACACATGTTTTGTCCTAAAGACCCAAATAAAAGCAAATCTTTTTTTTATTTTAAAAGATGGAACCAGCGAATAGATGACTTAATCAAATAATCAATTATCAAAATTGTAGTTATTTAATCTCTCATAATCAGATCTGATTAATCCATAATAGTCATTTCAGTTTTAGCTATATGCTATAAAGTGAAGACTAAAAGATAAGCCCATATACACTGCTGTATTTAAGAATGATATTTTTGTATTTCAACATAATTTAATAATGCATTTGTAGTCCTGCTACATCCATCTCAAAACCTTTGTTACAAACTAGAGCTGCAACGATTAATCAATTAGTTGTCAACTGTTAAATTAACTGCCAATTATTTTGGTAATTGAGTAATAAAAAAGCTCTTAAATATGAATATTTTCTGTTTTTTGTTACTCCTGTGTGACAGTAAACACAGTGTCTTTTGGTTGTGGACAAAAAAATACATTTAACAACTAATCAAGTAATTGAGAAAACAGTCATTAGTTGTAGCCCTATTTTTTTAAAAATGTAGTTCCTTTTATACAAAACTCTCTGCTCTTTGGTATTTCCTTCCTGTTTGGATTTTATTCAAGTAGAAAGATGGGTAGAAAACAAAGCTGCACATCAAGTACATTGTGCAGAAATCCTCCAGTTGTTTTCATGTGTCAGATTATGTTTTGCTTTTATTACAGGGAGAAGCCCAGATTCATTACATCTGTGCCACTGAGGATTTATTCATTGGAAATGAAAGGGGGAAAAGGTAAGATGCACAGTAGTAATGTAGCTTTTTATATCTAATTGAGGGCCGCACAATTTCTTGAGAAGCTCATTTACAAAACTGTAAACGTGGGCATCAGTTTGGAATATTTAAGCATGTGTTATTCATGAAGTGCACTGGAACTACTCATTTCTCACGACTGCATTCATTTTAATGATAGATTGTATGTAAAATAACAATTTCCAAAGCCCAAAGTGACATTTGGGATGTTTGGGAAGTTTTGTCCAAAACACCAAAGATAATCAAAGTAAAACTAGAAGAGTCCACTCAGTAGACTGCAGATCAGTGTCTGCTGGCTTGTGTTCGGGGAACAGGGAGTGCAGGGCAGGCTGTGTGTCCAAGCGTGTATGCATGAGAGTAGTGGAATGAAGGGGAGAAAATGTTTTTGTATAGTATAGTGTAATGGTTCTTATATAGATGTATGCAACGTTTTTCAGATCAACGTGTTTTTGTATAGTGTGTTTCCTTTAAGATGCATAGAATTGTGTAAATGCATTGTAACCGAGCATTCTGGGTTTTCCCAACTCTCCCCTTCCAAACAAAGACGACTTGAATCTCACTCAATTGGCCCTTACAGTTAAGATGGCGGTGAAGATAACAAAAATGGCGAATTATTCATCTCTTATCGCGTCTAACTTGAGTGGATCATAACATATTGGAACATAAAGGAAATTAATCTGAGAGATGCTCCAGTTGAAGATGAGACACAACTTTTCTATGGATTTGTGAGCCACGACAAAGGCTAAAATGTGTCCTGCAACAGACTAGGCAAGCCTTATTTTTAGCCTAGCCAATGGCCAGAAATGTCTTTTGTCTTTTCCGTCAGCATACAGTCATAAATGTGCACACAAAAATATTAGGCTGATGGATCCAGTTTGTATGTGAGATTAGACACACACACACCATGTCCCCTCCAATAACTGAGGAAACAAACACAGCCCAGCTGCTTATCTGGCTCAGAATGAAAACACACCCGCTCCACTGTAACTGCCAGAAACTACACCCTGATTCTGGAGAAAGCAGTATCATATTTTATCTTGTGAAATGACCATTTTGCTTCACAGGGAGGGGCTTGAGAGTAAAATTCCCAGAAACTCCCTGTGGTGGTGTTAATCAGTCATGTGGCTTCCACTCCTTTGCTGTCTCCAAGTTTGGGCGTGCATAATTAACTAGTAAATTTACAGCAGTATAACATTACTGTTTTTTGTGGAAATGATATTCCTTGTGAGGGGTTGAGCAAAGAATTGAGTTACAACCAACCGTTGTCTTTGAAGAATTTATTTAACAAAAGAGAATAAACAGAGAATTACTAAAACACATATACAGCTGGTCCAGAGACCTGCTGCCTCGGGCAGCTTCGAGTGTCTGGCCCCAAGCAAAGGGATGCATCATCATTTACACAGTCTAGGTTTCTATGTTTTGGGGAGCAGAGATCCTCTCTCGGCCTTGAATGAACATTCCAGGAAAGGAGAGGAACAACAAGAGAGGAAAACGCCAAAACAATCTCACAGCTCTGTCCTAAACCCCAGTAAATGTGGACAGACTGACATAGGAGAGGAAAGGTTAAGGATAAAAACACAATACACAAATATCTATAAGCCATAACGAGAACATAATAATAATAATATTAAAAGATCATACATAAAAGATTAAATGTAAGAGGAAACAATTTTCTGCCATAACACTGTTGTTGCAAAGTAGCATGTACAGTACATGCGCACACAAGCACATCTCAAAATAGATATTCAGTTGTGCACTCCTGCTGTTTGCTATTTTCGGTGGTGCTGGTTCTGATGCAGTGTTGGGCATAATACAACCATTTGGTAGTATGGACGCCTCTGGCCTCAGGAAAATTGTGGATAAGATGTGCATTGTGCATTAAATAGTCAGATGTAGCGTTAAATGCCTTTTAATCTGTTCTAAGCTGTAGTCTGAACTCTGCATAGCACAGTTGAACGAAGCACACAGTGCTGCAGAGATGCTGTGGGATTGTAAATGTCCCCCCAGCTCAGATCCTCTTAAACTGATCAGCCTTCATCTGCTGCTCTTCTCTCTCTCAGCTTCTATCTCTGTCTTTCGTTTTTATTTTACCTTTGTGTTTCTCTCCTTCTCTTTCCTGTGCACCCTCCTGTTGTGTTTTTGCTTACTTGCATTTATTTGTTTCTCTCTCACTCTCATTTACTCCAATCTCTTTTTCTGTGTGTGTGTGTGTGTGTGTGTGTGTGTGTGTGTGCGTGGGAGTCTCAGTATGACTCAATGAACCGCTGCATTTTACATTTTACAGCAGTTCCTCTTTCAAATCTTCTTCTCAGTAGGGGAAATTTCTATTTCAAAAGCAGTTAAAAGGATATGTTATGTAGTGTTTCTGCTTCCTGTGCCCGTAACCAGGATAACCTCATGCACTGTGAAGACATGAGAGGACCAAGGAGCACGTGAAGATGTCCCAGAAGGCAACTAAAAGTAAGTTCTTTTGCTGTGGGTGGTGGTCATTTATTTAACAGATATTGTTAATGCTAATAGCAGATTACTTGAATGCGACTCTTTCCTGATATTCAGTAAAGCACTAATCTGATCTGTGTGTTATTTCACATGCAATGATGTGAGGATTAGGGACCAAAATGGACTTAGTCAAAGATTAATGATCTATTGACCTTGAGGTCACAGTTTGAAATAATCTCATGGCCAAGAAATATCCCCACACATAAACACCTGTAACATTGCAAGTTGTCACTTTTTGTTGTGATTTAAAGAATCAACTTATAACGTATATTTTGCTACGTTTGGACAGAGCCAGCCTAGCTTTGTCCCCCTTTTTCCAGTCTCTGTGCTAAACTAAGCTAAGCTTCACATTAGTGTACACAAATGAGAGTGGTAATTAGTCTTTTCATCGAACTCTTGGAAAGAAAGCAAATGCGCATATTTACCAATATCTTTTATGTATCCATTATTATTATTTTGGATATGTATGTATGGTCTTGAAAACTGTGATGGCACTCTTCCTGGTTGAAGCTTAAAATATTATATTAAGATAATATTGTACATATTATATATATACTGTATCTATATTAGATGTCACTCACTGGAAGTACCTGCCCATCTCATACTTACCATCCAAAATTCAAAAGCATACCACTGATGTTCAGCTTTATACATGGTACTCTTAACTGTACACAGTGCTGTTGTCCCTGGGCAGAAACTCATAGAGTGTGTGTAACGGTAGCCAGGAAAGGCTGTGCAGTGAGTAACCTCACTCCCCGAGGCCAGAAGAGACGCGCTAGCGTGGTTTTCAGCCTCCTTACTAGCATGTCTGCCCCCAGTACCTGAGGCCACCGTCGTTACATGTGCAGTATGCATGAATGGAAAAATTGAGAAGATGAAAAACAAGTCAGCAGGGGTTAACCCAGAACTCACTCAGTCACTCACTTTTGGTCAAAATCAAATCAAGCACACATAACTCATGATCACAGTGCACATTAGATTTCACAAATGTCATGTATTTTTTTTTATCTGACTAGTTGAAAGAACACTAGAAACTTGTTTGAAATAACATTTTGAGATCATACTAAATAGGTTATTGCACAAGTCACACACTGTGACCACACTACTGTTTGTATTGTTTCCTGGAGACCTGTGCAGCTGTCTCTGAATAGAAAGTGGTAGTTACTGGAAATCTCTTAATGTTTATTTCAGTTTACTTTTTCAGTACCTAGCCTGGTACAGATACTACATAAACTGTAGTCCAGGAAGTCCCCTTTTTAGTGCAATGTGTATGTAAATGAAAGAACTTCAACACCTATATATGTCTCTGGTTTAAATTGGAATTACTGTTGCTGTGGTTTATCTATTTTACCCAAATTACAATAAATCAGCTATTTCTCAATGTTTCAATGATATGTTTATTCAGAAATACTCATCAGCTGTTTCAATACAGATTTTGAGCTGCTATTGTAACAAAAGTAGAGTCTTTATACATTATTTAAGGTTTTGGTATTGGGTTAGCTTGTATGTAAAGAAAAACATGGATTAATTGACTGCATATTCTGTGGAAACGACATGAATTGTGTTAATGGTATGGTATGAACAAGCCGATGTTGGGCTAGTTGTGTTTTGAAAATGTGACTACAGATTGATAAAATGATGTTAGCGGTTGTAAATGAGGTGCCAAGTCTTGAGCAGTACCACTTTTCTAAAGCTTTCATTTGTCGTTGATTAAAAGCAGTAGATTATTTTCTGTCACAGGATGATTGTCCTTTTCTCACTTTAAGGTGTCAAGACTTTGAAGCCAGCATGTACTGTGTGTGAAATCTGATAATTTTTATAAGCCTTATATGTTTACCGGTGTTTTTGTCTTCTTTGACTTCAGCATGGTGCCTTAGGCTTCTCCCACTTCTCCTTTTCGTCATCTCCTTGGTCGCGTACTACCTTACCTATGCCATACTTGAGAGGTAAATACACACACGCTAACACAACCATTTCTTTCTCCTTTCTTTCTCGGTTGCTCTGGTATTGAGGTCACGCAATTACAGAAATGCCCATTTCTGGTTAAAAACAGTAAGTACACTTATGAGGTCTGTGCAGTGCTGAGTCACTAAAAGTTAAGAAGACAGCCCACATTCTGATCCGGCAGTCTGAGCTGCTGGTCAATTTATGCCCTCACATATGCCCATTCTTGCACTTTTTGAGTGTTCTGGGCCAAGTTACTGGCACACTGTGTTTTTATGGATTCAGCAATGGTTTTCATGCCAGTTGTGGTGATTTTCTGTCTTTCAGCTACAGAGGCACCAGCACTACTCTGAACAGTAGCAAGTCATTGTGTGGTGGCTGGCTAGCCCAGAAGAAGTGGGAGAGCCTTAACTTTAAGTGAGTAATGGCATGTCTGTGTTTTTTACCTACTGGAGGGAGTGGGTGGCTTATTAAGGGAGAAAGGTATGCCAACATTTTCATTTGAACACAAAGTGCCAGGCTCCTTGGAAATGTTAGGACTAAAGGCATGAAGGAAAAGTTTTAAACACTTTAGTGAGAGAGAACAGGACTCATTATAAAAAGGGATTTTCCATTTGAATCATGATTACAGTAAGTGTAAGAGTGTAACCTCAACGTGGACAACAATATCCTTTTCTTTGGAGCCAGACAATAGTTTGTTTGTCCTCAGGTTCATTGTTCCACAGGCCTGAGCCCCCTCTCATTTATTTTTCCTTGATCTATTACCAGTTTACTGTGCTGTGTATATATACTGTTAAACTTTTTGTGAACTCTGTATTGTGACAGAATAGTGGTTTTGCCTCTGTGGTTTGTCCCAGCCTCCTCCAAACTCTGTTTATTTCATCAGCTCAGTAGACCTTCCCCTTTATCAGTAGACCTTATAAACAGTCAAGAGTCATGTTTGCTGTGTTTACCCCTATAAAAAAAAACATGAATTGCATTCTCACATCATGTTGCTGGCTGGTTGCTCTTGGATTTTCACATCAGCCATGACAGTCACAGGGAGGACTTCCAGGCAATCACAGTGACATTTCTCTAATGAGACCCCTCCTTGGAGATTTATCCTGATCTCCTGCAAAGAGCTAGCTGGCACATGAGGGTAATAAATGTCTGAAAGCCTCACTGTCAAAGACAGTAGGTCATTAGCAGCTGGAGTCTGAAGCCAGCGAACACAGAAAAGCAACAGTTTCATGTATTACAACTTGCCACATTTGTCTCACTCCACAGGCTCTGTGAAGGTTATTGTTTTCTTTTCCCTCCCCTCGGCCAAGAAATGCCAGCACAGGATTTTAATGAGGGAAATTGCTACTGAATGAAATCATGTTAATGGATGGTTCGTCCATAATGAGTCTGGTTTACCTGCTTAATAGATACCAGAACATTTGGGAAAGTTAAGGCATCCGTCAAGCACACCAAGCGATTCCATGTGCTAATATGAACACTTTACTATTTGGCAGCACAGTTGGTGTTGTCCATTGTGTGGTTTGATAGTTATTATAGCCAAAAAGTAGTTTTCTTCATCCTTGCTCTCTCAGCCACAAATGTCCCGGTAATATTATTCATCTATATCAGGGGTCAGCAAATAAGTCTGGCATCGGGCCAAATTTTTTTCAAGCCATTATATGGCGGACCAGAACAAAGTCAAATTATTTCAAATCCTTGTATACTCATGTGCAAGTTTAGCTCAGTTGGTACTGTGCGGGACTCCCGTTAGGAAGATTGGAAGATCAATTCCAATTAACTGTGTATATTTCCCCCCCCTTATTACTTGATTATAAGGACACTTTTGCACATGCTCACAATAAGGCAGCACACCTGGACACACCACCGGTCACTGAATAGATCTCTGCCTCACTGCCACAAACAACTGTCTCCACCTGCTGGCATGTAAAGCCGTCTGCTCCCAGCGCTGTTCCAAAGACTTCTATTCCTGTCATCACGCATAGACCAGTAAACCGAAATGTGCACATCCCACACAGAAATATTAGTAATCTCTTAAGGATTAGGACAACTGCACCAACTCTAGCACCTAGAAAATGGCTCTCTTCAATGTGAGATCTTGCTCAAGTAAGACTTTTATCTTAAATGATTTTATCTTGTCTGCAAATCTAGATTTTATGTTTTTAACTGAATCCTGGTTGCAAGTGAATGACTATAGCCAGCTAGCTGAACTGTGTGCCTCAATATGATTGTTTTAGTCAACCGAGGGTCAGTGGTCGTGGTGGTGGGCTAGTGAGCATGTATAGGAAATATTTAAAATGTCATCAAGTACGCTGTGATGAATTTAACTCCTTTGAAGTTCTCACTCTTAAATTTGGAGGGCTGCAACCTATCATATTTGTTATAATTTATCGCCCCCCCAAAACCGCCGAGGATTTTTATCAGAACTTCCTGAATTTTTGTCTACTCTGGTTTTAAATTATGACAGAATTGTTCTTTGTGACGATTTTAATATTCATGTTGATGACCCCAACAATGTTAATGCAACTGACTTTTTAAATATGGCCACTTCTTCTTTTAACAACATGTCAAAGGGCAAACACATAACCGTGGTCATACACTGGACTTGGTTTTTACCCTGAGTGGGCATTTCCTCTGTGGAATTAGTGGACATGACCATATCTGACCATAGATGTATTGTTTTTAGCTGCGATCTGCCTGTTACTCATGCCGCCTCACCAAGCTCCGTGTGTTCTCGCATCTTTAATGAACAAAGTGTTTCAAAGTTTTGCGCATTCTTTCAGAGCCAAAGCAAACACCTGTCTGATTCCAACACCAACAATCTGGTCGATCACACTTTTTTTCTGAACTCATTACTACACATAAACACAATCCCAGGTTTCTGTTTAAGACTGTGGATCGGCTGGTAAACCCAACCCCTCCTTGTGCCTCAGCTGGAAGTAATGATGACTGTGAATTGTTTTTATCTTATTTTACCAATAAGGTGGCTCTGATTGACAAATCAGAGCCTCTATTACCCCCGCTGCCTCTTACTCAGAGGTTCCTCACCAGCAACAAGAGAGTTTTAACCAGTTTTATCCCATCGACTTGTTTGAGCTTTGAAAAACAGTATCACAAATAAGAGTGTCCTCCAGCCCACTTGATGTAATACCTACAAAGTTTTTACTGAAAGTGGGCCCCATTTGATCTCTGTTTTCAACAGCTCCCTATCTACTGGTTGTGTCCCTGATTATTTTAAAACGGCTTGCGTGAACCCACTTTTAAAGAAACCTGGTTTAGATCCCTCCCTCCCCCATAATTTTAGACCAATTTCAAAACTGCCTTTTATTGCAAAGATTCTAGAAAGAATTGTGTCCAAACAGCTGCTCACTGTACTGGAAAATAACAAATTATTTGAAAAGTTTCAGTCTGGTTTCAGGAAGTACCACAGCACTGAGACTGCCCTGCTTAAAGTCACCAATGACCTTTTAATGTCTGCTGATGAAGGCATGTGCTCAGTCCTGGTACTCCTGGACCTTAACGCTGCTTTTGACACCATTGATCACAACATCATGTTAGACAGACTGAGGCACTAGGTGGGGATCTCTGGTACTGCCCTAGAATGGTTTTCATCCTACCTGTCAAATAGGAAGTTTTGCGTGTCTGTAAACAACTATGTCTCTTCGTTCTGTCCAGTTAAATATGGTGTGCCTCAGGGGTCGGTCTTAGGACCCATTTTGTTTTCCTTGTATCTGCTTCCCCTTGGACATATAATCCATAAACATGGCATTTCTTTTCATATTTATGCTGATGACACACAAATATACTTGCCCGTCAGATCCACAGACCCTGGAATGCTGAGTTCACTTAACAACTGCCTTTGTGAAATAAAAAAATGGATGTCAAATAATTTCCTCCAACTGAACTCAGACAAAACAGAAATCCTGGTCATTGGGTCCCAATCAAATACTGCCATCTGCTGGTTCCCTAGTAAATCACATTAAGCCTGTGGCAAAGAACCTTGGTGTTTGGTTTGATAGTAATTTAAATTTTGAGCAGCACACCACAAAGCTTGTTCAATCATGTTTTATCAACTTAGAAATCTAGCAAAAATTCGATCTATGTTAACTTTTAAGGACACTGAAACCATTTTACACGCCTTCATCTCATCACGCCTGGATTATTGCAACAGCCTTTTCACTTGTTTAACCCAAAAATCTATTGATCGACTCCAGACTGTCCAGAACTCAGCTGCCAGGCTTTTAACCAGAACAAAGAAATATGACCACATTACTCCTATTTTAGCTTCATTACACTGGCTCCCAGTATGTTTTAGAATTGACTTTAAAATTCTATTGATCACTTTTAAAGCTCTTCATGGCCTCTCACCTTGTTATATTTCTGAACTTTTAGTCCCATACGCACCAGCACGTACCTTGAGATCCTCGGGCAGAGGTCTGTTGTCTGTTCCAGAGTCTCGACTGAAAACCAAAGGGGACAGAGCGTTTGCTGTCAGGGCCCCGAGGCTCTGGAACAGCCTGCCCGAGGAAATCAGGTCGGCTGAGTCAGTGAACTCTTTTAAGTCCCTTCTTAAAACATACTTTTATAGGAGAGCGTTTCCTGATCTTATTTGACTTTATTTTATCCCTTTTTATTTTATTGTATTTTACTAATTTTATATTTATCTTAAACGTGTATTTTAGTCTTTTCAGTGTTTTCATGCTTTTATCTCGTATTGTTTTTGTATTATTGTCTCTTGGGTATTATTGTCTTTACACTTGTTAAAGCACTTTGTAACTTGTTTTTGAAAAGTGCTCTACAAATAAAGATTATTATTATTATTATTATTATTAGAAGGCACGTGCTGCAGTGTGTGTGCGTGCCTGGCGTTTGACCCGCATTCATAAACCTATGGACGTTTATTTTCATTTCCCTTAGGAAATTCAGGGTGCAAACTACGGGGGAGCCAGCTCCCCCTGATAAGACATCAGCTCCCCTAAAAGCATGATTTGTGATATTTTGGGGGGTCTCTAAAATATTGACGGCATGCTTTATTGACATTAATCTTATCATGGATCATGCGGAGCGTCAGACTTCATCTCGCCAGAGGAAACAATCACTGACCGACCGCAGCAGGCCAGTCGCTCCGCGATTTCCTGTCCCTGGTCCGCCCCACTCCCTCTCTGGTGCTGACAGGTCGTGAACGGTTCCTGATCGTTGGCTGGATGAATATTACGCATGATCCATGCACTACTGCAACTGGGGGCTCTCCGCAGTGCCACGCAACTTTCTACATTCTTCCCAGAGGTGTATCAAGCAAGCCAGAGACTTTTGAATGTCCCTCACTTCAAAGTTCAAACTTCAGTTTGTAAAAGCTTTCAATATACTCAACATAAAGTATTGGTGCAATAAACATTCTCATGCTTTTATTTTGTAGCCACAGTCACTTAAGAGGAAGTGATTGTGTGAGTAACTGTATCTGTCATGACTGATATCTATTTCAGCACCAGCCGCTATCAATTTTTTAATTTTTAATTTTTAATTTTTAATTTTTCTGCCATCAAAGCAATCTAGCCGCGGGACAGATATTATTGCCGGTGGGCCGGTTCTGGCCCACGGGCCGCCTATTGCCAACCACTGATCTTCCTGTCACTGTCAAATCCTGTCACTGCAGTATTATGTCGTAATTCCTGCTCTGACATTTTTCATGCAGCATTAGTAGAAGGACGCATCTCTTTCTGAAACTGAAGGATTTCTTCTGGCGGGAGCATCTATCAAAGCTGGCATTACCTTATGGCGTTAAGGGCAGTGGTATGTTACATTATCCAGTGCTCTTTCTTTTCATTCTGCTCAACATATCTCACATTTTGGTATTACTGGTTGCATTATGTTTATGTTTTTACAAGAGATTTATGATTATACTGTCATAAAGTCAATGTTCTTTGATTAAACAGTAACAAACCGTTGTGGACCTTTACTATGTTATCATATTCAGGAAATTAGCTTTATAGCATGTTGTATATTTGGCTCTTAATACAGTTAAAACTCCACACAGCAGTCTTTTATGTTTGCACATCTGTATTAAAAGTTTTCAAAGAATCACACCTTTTCAATTTCTCTTTTTCTCCCCCATCCCACCTCCACCCCCCAGAGCTGCTGCTAATGAAAGTTCTTGCTGTAACTTCAAATTATCAGGTGCCAGCCAACATTGAAAAGTAAGTGCGAGTACATTTTAGCCAACCTGGAACATGATACTAAAACGCAACCTATTATTCCTGGAACCCAGGTTTTCATTTCCTCCCGAAGTAATTGTGAAATACTGTAAATTCAGGAATGTCAATAAATATCTAATACTTTATTTACTTTAATGCATCTTTAGTTCTACATGACTTGATTACTTACGCTTTAGCTTTATGCTAATTTATTATTATAGTTACATAACTGTTCCTCATAATAGTCAAGAATGCACCCTCGGGTGCTATTGCTCTAGTAATGAAAAAGTTGTCATTTATGTCTCTAGAAGGGTGGAATTTTGTTTTCTAACTGTACAGAACTTGACAACACTCCTATCAGGGAATGTGGGAGGAGTGGATAACACATTTGAACCTGTGCGTGTGCGTGTGTGTGTGTGTGTGGTGTTTTTCTCCACAGCCTTGAATGCAGAACCTGCGTAGTAATAGGCAATGGCTTTGCCATTAAAAACAGCTCCTTGGGAAGCATCATTAACAAATATGACGTGGTCATTCGGTAAGCACAAAGGAAAACACCTTATGAAAGTATTGTTATCAGTAAAATCACATTCAGTTATTATAATTATTACTGTTGTCTATGTGACATGTTGTACATCAAGAAGTGGAATGAATTCTGGTAAACATGACTTTTTGCAAAATTGCTTTTTGATTCCACTCGAGGCTATGCATTTGTAGGAGGCAACTGTACTATATTTTCATATCTTACAAACTACGCTCCATCAACAATAATAATCCAAATTTTTAACCCGAAGACTCTTCATAACCACCTTCTTGTTTCAAGATTGTCACGGCAGACAAATTAGGAACAGATGGATCCTTTCTAAATGACCTTTAAAAAGAGAATGTGGTGATTTTCCCCGCCACTGAAAGCAGGATATAAATTCACTTGGCTGTAGACTATTGATGGACATTATCCGACTGTGTGATCGTCTGACCCTGAAAGCCGTCCTTACTAAGCAATTAGTAAACCTTTGGGTCAAGTAAAGTTCTTTTAAAGAGAAAAGAAAGCATTTTGTTTACTCAGGGTCAAAGGCACTCTCCATTTACTTTACAGGGTTGGAATGAACACGTGCATTCTGAGTTTTTATAAGCCTCTTTCAAACAGCCAGAATTTGGCCTGGCCACAATGCATTTTTCTCCCCCCCCCCCCCCCCATCAGCCCACCCCCCTCCTCTTCCTCATACATCTCCCTCCCTTCTCCGAAGCTAATCATTCCCTGGCAAAGTAGAGTTAGGTTATAAACATTCAGAATTCAGTGCATTCCTGAGACTTTGACGTCATCAGGGTTTTTCTGTCACAGACACACCGTTAGCCTTACGTTTCCAAAATGCAGATTAATCACTTAACCAAACAAGCTCTCAGTCTGTGCTACTGTGTTAGGTTATTTGGGTGAAGGAATGAGTTATGATGTTGTTTTTAGAAGATGTGTCAAGAATGTGTTGAAGGTAATATAAAAAACAAAGCTCCTTGATTTTGGCATGAATTGTTTAAAATACTTAATAAAACAATGATGAAAATGCTTGTTCCTGAATGTAATATCCCGTCCCCGCCTCAGGTTGAATGATGCCCCAGTGAGAGGCTATGAGGAGGATGTGGGGAACAAGACCACCATGAGGTTCTTCTACCCCGAGTCGGCCTCTTACAACCCCGGACTGCACAACGAGCCCGGCACGCTAATGGTCCTGGTGCCTTTTAAGCTACAAGATCTACGGTGGCTCAAAGAGATCCTCTATAATGAGAAGAGGGTACAGGATATGTGTGAGAATGCACTCTCTCACACACACACACTCTCATCTCACTCGCTTACTTTATTTCTCTCTGTTCTGCCTCACAGAAACACACTCCATTTAGCTTCTTTTTCAGCCATTGCCAGCAATCCATACCAGAAACAAATACTTAAAAGGTTCGACTTCAGTAATGCCAGCACCCTTCAGAGTTAAATGTAGTTTCCATTGCAGACATCCTTCACTCTGTTGCCCTCGGCACCTCCGGCCTCCTACTGCTAATAGTTGCAGGGTCATTACCTGCTAATTTACACATCAGTTCAGTTGCCTCCAGACATAAAGGAGTCGTATGTTCAACTGCATCTGTTTGCGTAAATGAACTCAGTGTACCAGCCAGAATTAGCAATCTTTTTCTGTCCTTTTGTTCCTTTCAATTTCACAACATCCTGTGTCTTATCTTTCTCTGTTAATGTGTGCATTACAGGTCAGGAAAGGCTTTTGGAAGCCCCCTCCCCAAATCTGGTTGGGTGACGTCAGTAAAATCCGAGTGCTGGACCCGCACTTTCTGCAACAGACTGCAGACAGACTGCTCCAGATCCCTCTGTACCCCAAGAGTAAACAGGTGAGATGTCACTTCTGTTAGTGATCACAATTTTAGACCCAGAAGTTTTGGTTCAGGGCCACACCAAATTGTGGCATTGTCAACTGCATTTCTCACTAGAACCTTCTCTATTGTTTGTTCCCTTTCTCCTATACCTCCCTGTTTTTTCACTTTTTGCCCTTCACTACTTCCCACATGAATGTTAACAAGTTCTGGATGGAGCATCCACTGATTAGCCACAGCTCCTCGAGTGATATGTCTTGAGCGCTGTTATAAACAGTTTACTGGAAGAGGCATTTCTCTTGAAATGTAGCTGGGTCAATAGCCATTTTATGGATCCAATTACTGCACAACATGATGAATATTGGCTTTCGCTTGGCAGTCTGGCAACCCATTACAAGATAAGCTCCTCATGTCTTCTAGGCTGCGCTGTGAATCCCTGAGAAATAATTGGCTTTTGAAGTAAAGCCAAAATACTGTATAAATTTCAACCAGATGCTCTGTTTTTAGAAAAAAGGACAGATCCCAGTGTTCCCTCTCTGCCAAGCTGATTATAGCTGTTTTCTCAGCAAAATATCCAGATTTTGTGACCGTCGCTGTTTTAAAAAAAATTATTTTGAGGTGTAGTTGATCTTTGTTGTGCATGTTTTATGACAAGCAGTTATTGTGCAATGAGAAAACAGAACATGACCTTTATTTGCAGTTTACAATCCACTTGTTTGTTTCACAAATTGGACCATAACCACATCTTTGGCGGAGGTGATTGGATTTTGAAACACCCTTTGATTTGGCTTAGGCTATAACTCATGTCGAATGAAGCTTTTATTGGCCCGTTGCATCCCATCTGCCATGTGGAGCTTGTTGTGTGTTTGGTGGAGATCGTCTCTGACATGGGCCCGAGCCCAATTTTGTTTTGCGTGGGCTGTTACCCTTTCGGATTGCAGTAAAAACACAACTGGCTGGTGCATGAGAAGAGTGAGCAGTGGGAAGGCAGCAGCCCTACAGGCGATCAACAGGCTCATCTGACAGGAGCTCTGCACCATCTGCACAAACTGCATGGAGAGGGCCAGGGGGAGATGATGGCAGCAGGAGGAGGAGAAAGGGAGAACTAGGGCCTGTTAGGCCTCCAGACAGTTACACTTTGCGTGCTTTACCGATATTAAAACATCGGAAAGTGAATTGGCTTGATTCAGGGATGCAAAAATATAGCTTGATTTAAAGACCCTCCCCCCACACACAGACACTACGCTCACACAGACTTATGTTGAGCTCTTGTAGGTCTGGCTTGCAGTGGTGACAGTATGCAGCTCCCATCACCCCCCTCTCACGCATCAGCACAGCTACCCTCACACATGCAACCATTTCTCTCTCCCATTTCCTTCCTTAGTTTTTTTGCAAGCAGACACAGATAGCGCTCGTGTTCCACCCCCCCAAACACAGCCTTGTTTTGAGCTCTTGTAGGTCCGGCTTGCAGTGGTGACAGTATCACCCCCCTCTCACCAAGGCTCCATGGGCCCGTGTCCAAACTATGCGCCGGGCCGTTGCAGGGCTCGGGTGTTTGCCCATGTGCTGGCGCCGCATGAGGCTAATACACACAGACTGTCAGCTGTGTCCCATTGCGGGGTGCTCTTTAGTTTCTGAATTAAAGAAAAAAAGCTGCTCATGCTCACTGCAATAGCAAACTGATCTGCTGTAATATTTTAGAGGAAGGAAAGCTGTGTTTCAGTTTGTTATCAATGCTACCATGGTCAACATGTATAATCTTTCACCGCATCTACGCACAATCTTTAGCTGCAAGCGGAAACAGCTTACCATCGCTCTGTTCAAAGGTTACAAACTCTTCCGAGTGACTTAGAGGTTGTTAGGCAACTTGTGGAAGTCACTGCTTCCGGCCAAGAAATAATTCCACACCCTGTAAAACCAACAATTCGATTTTTGTATCCATCGAACAAATTAAATTATGTGTTAATTAGTGAGCTTAAGAAGTGCTTACAGGATCATTTTGTTACCTTTTGACAGAGCCAGGCTAGCAGTTTCCCCCTATTTGCAGCCTTTATGCTAAGCTAAGCTGACTGGCTGCTGGCTGCTGGCTGTAGCGTCATCAAACAACAACAGATATGAGAGTGATATTAATCTTCTCATCTAACTCTCAGCAAGAAAGCAAGTGTATTTTCCACAATATCGAACTATTTCTTTAAAGAGAAAACAGAAATTTGCTTTGCAGAGTCTGCTGCTCTGTTATATGGGAACAGACAAGATCAATGGCCACTTTTTTGCAGCTAGGGCTTTCCAGGAATAGTATCTAAAAAAATTTTTTTTAAAGATTAAAATGTAAATAATTCACAGTACGTACACAGTTTTATTTGAATTTGTAGTCTGTTGACAAAGGTCTTTCAGTTTTAGTAAAAGTCAGTAGTTAAGCGTAGTTAGGCAATCAGTAAACCTTTACTAGAAGAAATGTGAGTAAGTCCCGACAGGGCTCTCACAGAGGAAACTTGATGATAACATGGAAAGGTGTAGAAGAAAGATATAAAAAGGCTGTTGGGTAAGTGCGCAACATTTTGGAGAGGAATGGAAAAAGAAAATTTTTTCTATCTCGCGGCCATGTGGAAGTGATTGTTCTTCTTGCCTCCATGAACATGGGTAATCATCGACAGAGTCAAATGGGAAACGGCAAACAACACGGGGAAATCTCAGTGCGTAGTGAGAGCCCACCAGGGACAACAGAACAAACATGTCCCAACTCATTGAATCTTACAGTAGGTTCATTTCTTAAAAGATGTCAGTGAATGTGTGATTTTGTTTGTGACATAAAGTAAACTTTCAGGGGCACGGCGATGAATACTTTAAAAGTTCTGTTTAACTAGTTCTGTTCAATTTATTTGGTTTTGATAAGTATCCTGACTGCAGCTTTTTGACACAATTATGGTGTATAAATTGTTGGAAGGCCTTTAAAAAGTACATTCAAGAACATTGACAGTAGAGAGATGACAGGAAACAAGATTATTTTGCTGCATAATTTTTTATTTATTCATTAATATGATTTTTTAGTGTCCATGTTTTTGTTTCTGAGGAGCAACTCAGAAGGCGGCACATCTCAAGAGTTAGTTTAAATAAAAAGAGTGTAGACAAATAAGGACACTAAGGTAGAGAAAACCCCTCCAGAGTGTTATTTTTCTCTCGTATCCAAGTAAATTCTGATATTTTTTTATCTTTGACCAAAACAGTGTCACTTGTGCTTGGTTCTGTGCCAATTTTGCACAAAAACGTGGGAGGTTGGCCTGAACTTGTCACTAGTTACTGGTATTCAGAAAAGGCCTGTGTTGAGTAAACAGCTGGAAAGTATCCAGTTTGCTGAGTGAGACGTGCTAATGTGCAGAAACTCTTCTGTCAAGCAACCAAGACCCTTAGGGTACAGGTAGTGCTGTCTAAAGTGCACACAAACGTGTTGACTATATATTTTACGTAACGTTAGTTACTCTGTCTCTGAAAAAGTGCATTACATTTAGATAATGAGAAAACCTGGTAGAGTGCATTCCATGAAGCGACCCTTTGCTGCATGTCATCCCTTCTCTCTCCCCTGCCTTTCCTGTCTCTCTTCACTATCCCTGTCATAAAACAGAAATGGCAATCTTTGTTTGATGTAAATATTTGAAAACTTTGAATAGGGCTACCTGGCAAGTTTGATATCACTATTGCAGACTTCAGAATGTTCCTTTCAAAATGTTGAAATTGTTTTGTTTTGAAAGAAGCTCACATGACACCACATGTTTTACATTACACAACATTCATTTGGCAGATTATTTTTTCTCAACGCGACCTATAAAATGCATTCAGCCTTTGTAGGAACAAGAGCTAGATGTTCAGCATGTTGTAAGTTTTGTTAGATTGTCACAACAATTAATGCTGATAGTCATTGGATAGTAGCTTGTGTGCATAAACTGCATGTTAAGGTCAAAGGTGGCAGTTTCTGTTGCCCTCTATTGCCATCTAGTGATGAAATGAGAGACTGCAGTAAAGCAGAAAGCAACTTAGCTTTCACTACACAACAGATGCAAAATTGGCATTTTTTTAAACATAAATGCTCACTTCATAACCACTTCTATTTGTCTAGCTAAGGTCAAAGGTAGCAAAGCATGTAGATTTTAGCCCACCATTTATTTAGCATGACCAATGACAAACATTTTATTTCAAGAGCTGCTTCATTTTAATATGCTGAAAAATGCTCCAAACGAGTAGAGTTTTTACATGATTCTGAAAAACAACAAAAAAAATTTTGGTGCTACCACTATGTGTCACATATTGTGTGAAATGTTAACATCCTACATAGGGGCTTTAAATTTTGTCAGGAGACATGATTATTGCAGTGAGCTGTCATTAAGTTTTGTTTGTCATTGAAGCCAGTGCATCCTACCACGGGCATCCTCGCTGTGTTTGTTGCTCTCAACTACTGTGATGTGGTCCATATTGCTGGTTTTGGATACCCCACCTCAAACAGCCAAAAGCAACCTATCCATTACTACGGCTATGACACAATAAAATCTATGAAGGTGGGTAGCAGTTATGTACAGTACTTCAAATGGAATCTGTGTTAGAATACTCTGAATACTGATGCTCGTCTTTCTCTCTGTTGCAGAATTCCTACCATGACATCAAACATGAAGCCGAAGCCTTAAGAAGACTGGAGGATTCAGGAGCCATTTTGTACCTGCATCCACATTTATGATGCGCACATTTCCAGTTCAATTTAATCCAGTAAATGATTGTACGCCAAATCTTATTTGAATTTGGTCTGGATCATCCGATCCAGATCAGATCTTAATGTGCCTTCTGCAGTGACACACAGGATACAAGACATGTCGCTGGTGCATTAAGTCATCATTTGGTGACATGGATGCTCTGAAGAATGTGGATCTCCCTGGCACCTTGAATTTTGTTAAAGTGACAGACATAAAAAGTGATTTAACAGCTTTTTAAAAAACAGCCTATGTTCTATTTGTCATGTAGTAAACTTGAACAATGTTGCTCAGCATTTTTCATAATGTTTAAAGGTGTGTAACTTTTATGGGTTTTGAATCATGACTTTCAAATTTAGTTCTGTTACTCATGTGGCGACCGAGTTGTCTGTTTGTGATAATCCAGCGAACAAATTTCATCCGATTTTTGATAATGCCAATGTGTTGATGTTGCTTTTAGGGCCATCTGATAGTGTGGGCTTACAACTGTCACACCATAGGAATCAAGCATTTCAGATCTATAGCTCACTTTTGTTTTTGTCCAGAGATTACATGCATATCATTGAGCTGTAAAACTAATTGATCAGCCTTGATAATTTCCTTCTGTAAACACTCATCAAATTTTGAGATTCATTTTTATGCTTTACAAGTGTGAATATTATTACTGAACTAAAAATCTCTTTTACGTTGTAGAGGTTTGTTGGAATCAATGGGTATTTTTTGTGAACTTCAGTGTAATTTTGTGATCAAAGGAACATGAATTAATTCCATACCTGATCAACGCAGTTAGCTGGATGAATTTCACTTTACTTTTAGATTTCTTGGACTATAAGTACTACTTGTATTTTATTCAATCTCACATCAGTTGTTTTTTAATTTATTTAATCTTTTTTGTGGTATTGGTGCTGCTGGACATTTTTTATTGTACAGAATGAAATACATTTTTAATTAAGAGGAATTTTATTTGATTCTCATTTAACATTATGTTCACATGCATTATCAAACAGGCTCATGTATCTACTGTATGGAAATCACTATATGACCTGAGTGAACCTGCATTGAGCTGTTTTTTGGCATTCATTTTATCTCTATCCACCACTAGATGGAGCCTCATAGTATATATTAAGTATGCAACTGCACTGCACATGCTGCATTCATGCAGCAGCCCATCTTCAAGTGCCTGGGGTAATCGTAACTGCACTAGCACGTGTTAGGGAACTCATGTACAGTATGAACATCTGGAAGACCAGAAAATTACACAATGCTAATAATTGAGATTGACTAACATACCTTTGCTGCTGGTGACAGATGTGGCTTATACTCTCTGTATGCATGGCCCTCTGTTAGTGTTGACATGAATGGAGTTGTGCCTTTGGCATTAATAAACTAGGCTTATTCATGTGTTGGCACATCAGCTATGACAGGGTCCGGTTCATCAACTGAGATCAGACATTTGTTGTACTTAAATCACATGTACATCCCTACAGTAAATGTTATAATACTACTACAACAATTAATAGTAGGCTATTGCTACTAATAATAATATCTTCCATCTATGCCACATTCCAGTATTGTGCTGTGAATGTTCTTTTATTAAGGTAACATTTCAAGTGATGCATACTTGTGTGCAGTGCTTTGTCTTTTGAATAGTGATGTAGACCTTCTCCTCAAGGTTAGATTAAGAAAGCTACCTCTGTACAGATGTACTGCGCTGGCGTCTGCGGGTATACTAGGAGACCTTATGGCACAGCTATGAAGGGATGTTTTTACTTCCCTGCACACTCTGCTATTGTACATTAGCTCAGCTGTGTGTTCTATTCTGCTTAAATCTGTGTTTTGCCTGCATATTGCTGATACAGAGGGCAATCCTGTTTGCAGGGTGAGACCACAATCATACGCCTACACTCATATTTAGTTCACTAGAATTGTCAATTGTTGGTGCTAACTGATTTTTTTTTGCCACTGATATCCAATCTGACAGAAAACAAAACATCCTTTTCAGCAAATTTAAAGCTCATCATTTTAGTTCTAAATGCCATCCATTATGTGTGGAGTGGCTCACACTGTAAGGCCATCCTTTTTCACACCCTCCTCGTGTTTAAAAAGGCCCACAAGCACATGGTCCACGTTGTTCCATCCATCCATCCATCCGCCCGCTTATCCTGCGTACAGGGTCGCAGGGGGCTGGAGCCAATCCCAGCTGACATCGGGTGCAAGGCGGGGTACACCCTGGACAGGTCGCCAGTCCATCGCAGGGCCACACATAGACAGACAGTCCACGTTGTTCCATTATGTTCCATTACTCAGATGTACACACACCTAAACATCTTACCTGTTTTGTCTCTTCAAAATATGTCATTATAGATGCAGTTAGATAGACTGTTTATATGCATTTGTTTACCCAACAACACAGGGGAAGTGTTGAAGAAAGAGCATCCTCACGTCACGCTTGATGGGCTTTGTTCACCTCCCTTACACAACAGGGACTTACGTAATTGAACAGGATTTGTGTGATTTCTGCGGGCTGTTTATATGACAACTAAAAATCAGGTCAGACTTTTCAGGAGAATCTATTGTACTGTAAGCACACCTTTGAACCCCCAAGACCAGAGAGTGCTTCTTAATGCTACAGAACGAACATTATGTACAGTGCTGTACCAAATCATCTGACGGTACAGTGAGTGTATATATTTTTAGCTTGGGTAGCTTCTGTGTGAATTAAACTCTTAACACTGGCACTGATCACACTGTGGTGCAACAACTGAGCCCTGCAAGCCCATTTATGCATGTTACGGTGTACCAAATAAGCCCATGGCAGCGGACAATACAAGATTCCAATAAGCTTCATTTTAAATGCATAGCTTTGAACTTTCAGGCAGAACCCCAGTACACTATGACCCTGGATGCTTTGGTTGTAATTTTACAATGCAGCAATTTCAAAGAAAATACATCAACCATGATGATTTCTGTGCCACTGTGTAAGTGGAGTCTCATGCAGGCAGAAGCTCTGACCGTGTGATCGTTATTACAGTATATCTCATTACACCATCTGCTCTCTGCACAGTGCTTTAGCCTGCCAGTGCAACATCTTACTTTAAAGCAGTTGTTTTACTTCATTACCCTCTGATGTTGCAGAGTCTGCGCATTAATAGTATGTCTAATATGCATTTGAATTTCATTCATTTTTACAACAGGTTAAAAAATGTGAATACATGAAAAGTGGGGAAAAAACAACCCACATCTCTTATGCAGGTGAGTGGGATCAGGAGCTGGAACACATTATTTTATTTTCTTTCAACCTCGAGTCATTGACCTGATGATGTCAGGTACACTGCGATCTAGTGAAGACACCTGAGGCCTCCTGCAGTTAAAAAAATAAGACACACACACTGTGGCTCTACGGTGTGTCTGTGTAAGAAACCCAGTGGACAGTTTGTGTGGGAAGAGGCAGAAGAAGTACAGTACTGCATGTAGCCAGCTACCTAGAGAGAGGGCATCTGGCATGGCTCACTGATAACTCCCCCACAGCCCAGAGAGCTACCGTGAGTCAGGTGCTCATGCACAGCACTACCATGGGAACCGGGAGAAGGAATAAAAAATAAGAAGAGTCAGGGAGTAAAAAAAAAAAAAAAAGATAAGCCGCTTTTCTTCACTTTGAGTTTTGCTAGTTCTGCTTTTTCCTCCATAAAGCCCCTTTTCCTGACTCTCATGTGGGCGCTGCCTACATGTGACGTCGGTTTTTCTGTGTGATTTTCATCTAGTCCTCCCCACAGAGAGGCTTTGGGATGGAAAAAAAGCAGTGTGTAATGCACAGCTTTCTTCTGTAACTGCAGAGGACAACTGTCAAAAATAGCAACATACTGGGGGAAAAAACTGAATAAAATAAATAGAAACAGATTAATTCATAACACTTTATGCTAAGTGGTTCCATGTATCTGTTGCACAGCCCAAAAGGTCAGCCAACTCAGCTGTATTAAAGACTAACACACCATTATTGTTTCCTCGTGGGTAGCCAAAAGAATATTTTATGTTAGCTCAGTATTTCTTTTTGCTCTGAACCCATCAAAAATGGCACAACTTTATGCTTTCAGTGTAAATATCAGGTTTTAGGAGTCTAAGTTGAGTCACAAGTTTGTCAGAGCAAGTCACGTTTCCAGCCCTCCAAGGAAAACTGCAAGTGAAAAGGTCACTACAATGTCATGGCACTGGATAAAGAGGATTTCAACAGTTTCCTCTCAAAACTGTTCTGATAGTGTTTTAAAAAACCTGGTGCTGTAAATTTAGGTGGTGATAAAACACAATTGTACATGCAGTACATTTGCACCTGATAAACTTGTTACTCAAATAGCAATCTCATACCTACATCTCTCCAGCAGGGCCATGTAAATATGTGCCTACTTTTCTCAAGTGGCCCATAGCTAACCAAAAGGTGGCAGATATTATGTACAAGTACGCTGCTTTAGAACAATGATTTCACAATGACTAAGTAAATGCACACTATTTGTTTCTACTGTCAACTGTTCCCAAGAACCAGCATCACATACTGTATGTGTGCAGTGGTGTGGCCAGTTAGGCAAAATGAACCTATGAGCAGAGCCAGCATTGGCTAAACATGGCTAGTATTATGTAGGCTATGGATGCATGGTCTAGTAGGATATACAAACACGCACACTGTGTGTTACATGGCTGTCTGGTCTATGATGTGTTCTGTCTTTGATTGATCACTGCTCTGCGAGTGAATTACACACTCTTACTCTTTTTATTCATTATTGCTACAATGCAGAGATGAAAATGTAATATTTTAAAAACTATTTTATGATTATCCATAACTAACAGTCAATAGATATGTGCTATAAATGCTTGTTTTATTCTGTTTATTGATTTTCTTATTCAACCACACAGTTATAGGCCTGTGGATTTAATACATAAAGCGTTTCATCAAGTCTTACTAGTCTGATTCAGGGACATGCGTTAAGTCTGCGGCTCTGATAGAAACAGGAAATAAGATATGATTTAAGCAAAATCTGTCCGATGGCAGTCACACAGGCAGATATAATCTGAGCCCCTGACACATCAGAATATGGGTTGGAGGTCAGAGAGTTGTTTTCCTAACCATGGAACGTATTACCTTTCTGAATGACCTGCACATGCATTATGTAAAATACATCGTACTGTGTTTGGATGTAGGCCTACTCATTTGTTCTGGCTCCATGTGCAGATCTCCAGGTTGTTTGTATCGCTAAGCCATATAAGACGAATATCCCGCTCTACACATGGAGTGTGACTTGACAATCCTGTCCTCCTTCTGTTGTGCCAAAGCGGGTGGAGTTTATCCTGGCACTACCCTTTTTGTCAGTCTTTTGGTACATCTGTCGGCTTATCCTCAAGGACTGGTTGTCTGGAGGCGGCAGTGTGTGCTGTTCCTCTATAGCACACGACCCAGTATTTTGTGTCAGTGGAGATGGCCAAGGACGTCACACATGCTGAATGACCTGAATGATGAACCAGGCAACTTCACACTATAATGGTAGTGGGGTGGATGTACAGGCAGGTATAAAAATCTAAGTCATGGTATGAACAGACTCCAAAGCAAAATAAGGCCTTTTACTTTTTAAATTTTTTCAAATCTTGACTAAATCTCTATAATGGTAACTACCCATTGCTAAATAATCAACAATTAAAGCTAAAGTTCAGGAGAAAAATGCATTTACTGTATTATTTATTCATTGACTTTACAGCTCAAAAACTCTAATCTCCTTCATCAGGAAGGTGGGGGTGCTTTGATCAGATTTTATTGACAATAGGAGGTAGTGTGACAAGTTAAAATACATTAGCCTAGATACACATAAGGCCTATTCAAAGTTAAAAACATAAATGTAACGTAAATGAATGGTCTGTAATAAGGTAAAAAAAGATCATACATCCATGACTAATGATTCATAAGAGCTGACTAGTTTTTAAAATTCCTAATATGTTTAAAATAATGTCTAAAAGTCTTTACTCCCATTGTTTTTTTTAGATTATTCTTTATTATTTCATCAAAGCTGTCCAGTGATCT